GCGCTTTACACAATTGATGTATGTATGGATTGTGATAAGAGTTGTATAAAATGATTTAAAAAAAAAAGACAGTGAAGAAAGAAAAGACCAAAGTGGATGGACAAAAAGACCTTGAAACTTCCTTTTAATTATAAGAGTATTTAAGGCAAATAATTTATAAATTATTCTTCTGTCATATCTTGCCATGTCCGACATCTCCCTTCACCCACTTTTCTGTTGTCCATCCCCCAGGGAGGAGGTCATATAGAGTTCCTTGTAATCGGTTCCCTCTTTCCTACCCACTCTCCCTCTACCCTCCCAGTATCGCCACTCACACCACTGGTCCTGTAGAGATCATCCGCATGTTTTTTAAATGTAACCAAATTGACATATTCGTGCATGGATTTATATTGCAAGAATGAAAAATGCACCTTCATTTCTATATTATTTTTCATCTTATTTTATTATTAAATAAAACAACAAACTGAAAACATTTTATTTATAAAATATAATACAAAACTTATTTGTTTATAATTTTGGTGTGGAATTGAACAAAACAATTTGTGTGTGTGTGTGTGTGTGTGTGTGTGTGTGTGTGTGTGTTACAAAGATGAACTTTGCATTTGCTGCAGAAAAATACTGGTGCACTCTTGCAATTTACATTTTTGCATCTTCCTCAGTTTGTGACCTGAGGGTAATGGTGAAGACCATCCAAACGGGTATCTCTTCCAGGACCTCTTCTCTTTTTGTTAGCCAACTCAGCATCAGTAAAGCAAGTAGAAGGTCTGCCTCTTTTTGTTGATCTATTCCTTTTTCCTTCAGGAAGAAGAGCTTCCGCGATGCTCATTCACAGGGGGTGTATATTCACTTCCTGTCATTGGAAAAATTAAATACTGTTATCAAAATAGTTTGAATAGCAATATAATTAAAATTTTACATTGTAAAATAAAAGCATTGAAATATAAAGCACATTTTATTTACAAATTCCATCCATATTCGCATCAGGTTCTTTGTCTGGGTCTGTACTGCTTCCATCTAGGTCATAGTTCGCCATTTTCCATGAAACAAATCACAGCCCATGCTGCGGTAATTTTTGTCCCCTTTGATTCAAAATACGAATGTAACAAATTCGTTACGTTTTAAAAAAGGGGAAATATATAATAAACATAATGTTTTTTATGAGTATTACACCTTTGACATAAAAACTACAGTTTTTTTCAACATATACTAAAAATATCAACACTAAAACTTCACTAGATTGAAAATTACTGTAAAATGCACTGAATGCCAACGACCACTTAACCTCAAACGCACAATCGGCCAAAACATGTGCCATGATTCAGGCATTTTGCCGCTAAAATGCGTGACGATTGGCACGCATTTGTACAAGTAAAATGCGACGAGTTCATCGACATCTTCGTCGGCTCCAAAAGCTTTATAATTTTGGTACCAGATATGTTTTAATTAAATGTTACGAAAACGTTGTGCTCGGTGTTGTGTAAAGTACGCTGTCATTAGTATCACATAAAAATAACGTTTTGTTGAAGATCATCCAACAATGGCTGCAGCAGTACATTGACTGGGAGCTGTCAGAGGTTCAGGCAGGATTCGGAAGAAGATATGGAACAAGGGGTATCATTGCTGACATCAGATGAATTTTGGCTGAAAGCAGAGAATGCCAGAAAGATGCTGAGATAGTTAACATGTATTGTGCCAAACTGGCCAATGAACACATGTGGGATTAACTGATGGGTGGAGAGAGAAATGGCTCCCTGAGCCTGGCTTTTCTTGTCTCTCGCTCTTTGATCATCGAACCAGTGTGCGGCTGCTTTGTTTGTTCTGTGCCGCCTCAATTTGCAAGCTACACGACCTGTGGGACACCTAACCTGTGGACTGTGTCGCTGTAATTTGAGGTTCCTTCAAGACCTTCTTTGCCACACTACTGGAATGTACATCTCTTGAACTGGGGACTGTCATCAGACTCTGTCATCTGGCTGACTGTGGTGACCTGCCTTGCTGTTTGCTGCCTGTGCCCAGATAGCCTGAATTGTTCTACAGAGGACTATCTAGTGGCCCTCAAGACTTGAAGGACTGCCAGTATCTCACAGCTGTCTCATGGGAGTGAATTGCACTGAGCCATTTTTACTGCTTTATAATTAACTGTTTATTTCTTATGTTATATATCTATCTATCTGTATAAATATATACACAATTATTAGCGTTCTGGTTTTGTTTCTTTAGAGAACCCTGTCTAACACAGATGTTCCTAATGTTTCCTTGGCTCTGGCAAGACACTTGGCTGTGTGGATCATCACAAACTGTGAGAAGAATGGGAAGAATAGAAATTCCAGAATATTTGAGAAGAGTGGAAATTCCAGAACATTTAATTGTGCTCACGCAGAACTAGTACATGGGTCAAGAGTCAATCGTGTGAACAGAACCAAGGAATGCTGTGTTTTGTAAAATCAGGAGAGTTGTGTATTACGGTTGTGCAACACCATACTGTATGCTGTTCAGTCTGTCTGCCGAGTAAGTACCCAACGAAGCTGGATCATATGAAGAAGAATATGGCATCAGGATTGAGAGAAGGCTTATTAACAACCTCAGGTATGCAGATGACACACCTTTCGTGCTGGAAGTGAGCAGAACTTGAAGCACTTGCTGATGAAGATCGAGAATTGCAGCTTTCAGTGTGGATTATAACTCAATGTAAAGAAGATCAACATCTTCACAATTGGACCAGTAAGTAACATCCTGATAAGTGGAAAGAAGAGTGAAGTTGTCAAGGATTCCTTCTTGTTTAGATCGACAATCAGTGCTCATGGAAGCCGCAGTGATGAGATCAAATGACTTCTTGCTTTGGGGAATCTGCTGTGCGAGACTTCTGTCAAGTGTTACAAAGTAAGGATGTTACTTTGAGGACTAAGGTGTACCTGACACAAATCATGGTATTTTCAGTTACTTCCTATGCATGTGAAAGTTAGACATAGAATAAGGAAGACATAGAATATGAATTGATACATTGAAATTAGGATATAGGCTCTGGTAATAATTTATAAATATTAATACCAAAACTAATCCCAGGAAGTTAGATATTGAAAAAAGTCCCCAATAGCCAATTCTTACAATGTGATTATCTACTCCGTCTTCCTTGACTTCTCTCTTGAGTATATTTACCCATGTCGCTTGGTTCTGTGAATCACTGCAGTGTCCCACAGTACTCACAAAATTTTGAAGAAATGTCTCACTCGGTGGTAGCTTCAGCTCAGCCCACAGTCCAAAGTTCAAGCAGGGTAAGCCAGATGCTAGGCCAGAGGACACACTACATCCAAGGCTCTTTCCAGTTATGAGCTCACACCCCCTGCTCCCCAGCAGCCTTATTGTATATGCAGCAGGATGTTGTTGCTGGGAAGCCTTTTCACAGTCACTCACAGGTGAATCCTCTCAGGATCTTTCCTCACCTACTTACCAGACCCGTGTAGGGAAAGGTCATTTGGTGGGAGTTACATGGTGCAATCAAATTTCATTCAAATGTAAGAGTCTATTCTTCACTCCTAGACTGTATCTTATTTGTACATAAATGACCTGGAGCCTTTGGCAAGATGTTTCTAGTAGGCATTGGTCTGCTAATTTTAGTTAGGCGGGTTTTCCCCCCACGCTTCTCCAAAACAGGTTTCTCTCCCCCCCTCCCCCCACCCCCAGCTGTAGGATGTAATTTCTTACAGCCATCGAAAGAAATGGTAACTAAAATAACCATTAAGCAGAGAGTGTGGTCTGATTCATACCCTCTACTAAGGTTGAAAGCCAATCTCATCCCATTCTCCTAGTTAGCAGATCTTGTCCTCCAAAATGGACCGAAACCACAGGTGCTTGGAATCTGGAATGATTAGATATCACATAAGGAAAGGTCATATGAATCAAGTATTATTCTGGTCACCACCTCTTTAAAGTGTTGATAAGCATGGATGTTATTTTGAGGATTAGATGTGTCTGCTAAAAGCCATGGTATTTTCAATCACCCCATATGCATATGGAAAGTTGCATATTGAATAAGAAAGTCTGAAGAAGAATCGTTGCATTTGAATTACGGTGCTGGTGAAGAGTGTTGAAGGTACAGATCTGTCTTAAAAGAAGTACAGCCATTCTGCTCTTAGAGGCAAGGATGGGGAAACTTCATCGCACTTACTTTGCACATGATGTCAGGAGAGAGTAGGCCCTGGAGAAATACATCATGTGTATAAAGTAGCAGGGCAGCGAAGAAGAGGAAGGCTTTCAACCAGATGATGGACAGAGTGGCTGCATCAATGGGCTCCAACGTAAGAGCTTTTGTGAGGGCAGCACAGGGCCGGGAAATGTCCAGGGGCTTGAGTTCTGTTGTGACAGGGTTGCTGTGAGTCAAAAACACTTCAATGGAATGTCACAACAACAGTAACACACCCAAAGGATAAACTGCTAACAATGTGAGCCTGTGGGGTCTTTCACTTGTCATAAGCCAAAGTCAGAATTCTACGAGATGGGCCAGTTAAATGGACAAACCTGAGAATCTCAAACCACCAGATTCTCTCAGACCCTCAAGCTGTGTTTTCAGCTAGAGCAGAACGACCACTGATTCCTGGTTGTTGCTCTGGTCATGTACCATTGAGTTTGTTCAGCCCCATAGCAACCCTCTGGACAACAGAACGAAACACTTTCCAGTCTTGCGCCATCCTCCCTATTGTTACAGCCACCATGTCAAACCATTTCCTTGAGGTTCTTCGCCTTCCCCGCCCCCCACACACACACAACTGACCCTCTCTCTGTTACAAACAATGACGTTCACTGCCACACACTGTTCTCTTCTGATGCGAGCCCCGGTGGCTATGAATTGGGCTGCTAAGCACAAGGTGATCAGTTGTAAACTATAAGGTCATCAGTTGTAAACTGCTAAACACAAGGTCATCAGTTGTAAGCTGCTCTGCAGGAGAAAGTTGAGGCTCTCTACTCCTGTAAATAGTTACAGTCTCAGAAACCCTCTCCTGATTTATCGGATCCCTGGGATTCAGTATGGACTCGATGACAGTAAGAATTTTAGATTTCGGTCTCGTCTAATAACATACCCAAAATCTGTGCAATGGAATCCAGACACAATTTGCTTTTGAAGAGCATTCTGATATATTTCTTCAGAGGTGAATTTGTGGCACATGTACTTTTCTGGCAGTACACGGTATTTTCAGTATTTTTTACCACCACCGATACCCAAATGTGTCACTTCTCCTGGGGCCTTCCTTATTCATTGTGCAAATTTCATAGACTTATATGAGGCCAGCTTGAATTTCTTGCAGCTCCCTGATGGTGTACTGATGCAACTGTTGTTGAAATATCTTCAGCAAAATTTCACTTGTCTGTGATATTAATAATACTGTTATTATTAATAATTCCCACATTATCTTGCACCTTTCATTATACTATTGTATTTTGACTTCTCAAGCTTCCCGTTGAAATTTTCTTTTTAGTTCTTTTATTTCATCATTTCTTCCATGTGTGTTACTGACTCGCTCAAGAGCAAGTTGCAGAATCTCTCTTGACATCTACTTCTGTCTGTTCCTTCTTTTCTCTTTGTGACCCTTTTCTTTTTGATCATTTTATTGAGGGCTCTTACAATTCTTATTATAATCATACATCAATTGTATCAGGCATATTTGTACATATGTTGCCATCCTTCTTTTTTAGACAATTACTTTCTATTGAGCCCTAGGTATCACCTCCTCTCCCCCTGCAGCCCCCCATGAACTCTTGATAGATTATAGATTATGATTATTTTCATAGCCCACACCGACCACTGTCTCCTTCCCCCATGGTTTCCGTTGTTCTTTCCCCTGGAGGGGTGTGTGTGGTTGTGTGTAGATCATTAAGATCCGTTCCTCCTTTCTCCCCAGCACCGCCCCCATCCCTTCTGGTATCACTACTCCCATTCCTGTTCCTGGGTTCCGTGTGTCTTATGCTCTTATCTCTTAGCTGTACCTGGGTACATGCTCTGGTCTAGTTCTAAGTGAGAGGCAGCACTGGAGTCATGATAGTAGGGGTTGGGGGTGGGTGGGTGAGGAAGCCTCAAGGAACCAGAGTAATATTGTGTGTTTCATCGGTTCTCTACTGCACCTTGGTTGACTCATTCCTTCCCTGTGATCCCTCTGTGGGGAGATGTCCCATTGTCTACAGATGGGTTTTGGGTCTCTGTTCCAACCCCCTCATTCTCAACAATATCTTTGTTTGTTATGGGTCTTCTGAAGCCTGTTACCCATTCCCAATGACACCTCATGATTGCATTGGCTGGTGTGCTTCTTCCACGTGGGCTTGTTGTTTCTCTGCTAGATGACCACTTGTTTAGCTATAAGCTTTTGAGATCCCAGACACTTTATCTTTTAATAGCCTGGCACCATCAGCTTTCATCACCACATTTGCTTATGCAC